TTAAAATTTTATTAAATATTATATATAAAATTCATATATAAATAAATCCTTTTTTTTTAATTAATACTTTTACACATTATTTAAAAAAATTAAAACTTCGGTAATCTTAACAATACTGACGGCGCCACACCTCCAGCTGTCTGCAATAAAAGGCAGATACTGTGGAATACTGGAATGCTTGCAAACCTCTCTCCGACTTTACTTCCAACAGTTACTGTCATTGATAAGTGTTTCGCACTTTGTTCACTCAACTTGGTTGATTTAAAAACTGGGCGAATCCCAAGCTTGAGGAGACACTATCATGGCAGGTTTTATTGTAATAACAAGGAGAATCCATGACTGCTTTGGTAATCTTACGGCAGTGTAGACGAGTATAAAGAACATGCAATGCCAATTGCCATCTGCCAGCCAGCCAGCCACCAGTAAGCAGCAGCCATGGCAGTACGTGTGTTTCTTGTATTCGGGATTCTCCTAGTATGCCTTGCTCAGGTACATAATCATACATTGAGCTATTTGCTGTTACACTTAACTTTGAAGTGGGTTTTTACCTCGAAGTCTAGTTTCATCACTCTGGTTTGTGTTTCATAGGTTTCATCTGATCTCAAGCTAGAAGAAGACATAACCTTCCAGGTATATATATCAGGAGTTATTTTTTTTCTTTTCCTTACTTTTTTACAATGGAAATATGAGAAAAGGTGGGTTGTCTCTGTTTTCTTTAGGAGGTCTCTCTAATTGTGAAAGATGGAAACAGAAGGCTGATGCAGGAGATTGGTGGGTTCTTTTTCCTCCATGAATCCTATTGAGATACCAAAGTTAAATCTCCAAAAAGCATGTATTTTGTTGATTAGATTAGAGTTAAATCTCAGAAAAGCATGCTATAGAGAGTTTTTCTTACACATGTTGTGTCTTGTTTCTGTTCAGATTGTGGAGGATTGTGCAAGCAGAGGTGCAGCCAGCACTCGAGGCCAAACCTATGCAACAGAGCATGTGGAACTTGTTGTGCAAGGTGCAAGTGCGTCCCACCTGGGACGTCAGGGAACAGGGAGGTTTGCGGGACATGCTACACTGGCATGACCACCCATGGAAACAAGACCAAATGCCCTTAATCAGGGCACCCTGCCCTAGCAGCTGGGTATGGCCCCCACCAGGGTTAAATACTAATGCCCCTTTTACAACTACTCTGCTTTTGAAAATGGATCAGATTCCTGTTGTCTCCCGCAAATATTAGGTTCGATAATTGGAAAAATGAGTGTACGTAATGTAGTTGTGAACTTTAAGATAATGTAAGTTCTTGTGGTAAACCTTTATGTTTATGATTAATCCGTTTCATAGGTTGGATAGGTAGTGATATGTGTTGTCAAACATTATTTGCATTTAGTGGAGAGTTTGATAATTGAAGTGGTTTTATCATTAATAAAAAAAATTTTGTACTTTTCAAAATAAAATTTTCAAATATGTGCTCTCTCCCCCTTCGCTTTTCTTGACAGGCTTGAATCATTTGTTCTACTACATAAAGAGAGAGAGAGAGAATAAATAAATAACACTACTTGCATCCTTACATTAGGGCAGTATCTTTTTTGTTAGTTAGTAACCAGTTTTCCATCGTTATATCTATAACCATATGAATATGTTATGTTTTTTATCTGAATAAACTATTACAGTCCCATGTACTAAATCAGTAATATTAAGATTCTAATAGGTTTCAGATTTCAGAGATGTGGTTTTTATTGGTTGATTTTGGTGTCAGTTTCGCAATTGCATGTTGTATTTGATTGATTTTGTTGTGGATTGAGTTTCAAGTTTTTGGGACCTCATAGAAGATGGTTTCATTTTAAGGAGATAATTGTTTGTTTTCAATTTGATCATTTTTCGTAGTGTAAGAATTGTATTCTTTCTGAACTATTGTTCTATTTTCGTTTTGGAAGATATTTGCTTTGAACATTGACTAGTATATTTTTTAGTTTAACATACTTTATATATTTTTTATTAAAAAATTATTATTTTTAAATTTAAATTAAAAATGATAAAATTTAACCAACTACCTTTAAAAGTAAAATGTCTTAAATTCAAATTGCATGACATGCTGATAAGATGGGATAAGGGATGAAAAATGATTGCCTCTCATTGTACAATAAAGATAAAAAAAAATGATAAAATTTAAAACTATAAATTTAACAATAAATTTCAATAATTAAATTAATGGGTATTATTAGATGTGCTAATTGAGTGATATACTAATTATTTTTCATTTGCTTTTATTGGTGAGGGTGGGGGCACAGAAGAAGGCATAGTCAAATCCTCAATGGCTTTAGATATTGGAAGGTGGAAGATGGTAGTTCTGGATGATTTTGCGATGATTTGTGGTTAAGGGAAAGCCAGGTAAAGAAGATCAAGTGTTATGGATGCCATCTACGTCTGGAAATTACAGGCGTAATGTGCCATAGTATAAGTATTCTAGAGCCAGTGATATTGCCACTAAACAAAATGTTAAGGACACCAAAAAAACATAAAATGTTATTTTTAAAATTACTGATTCTATTTAATTTAATTAATAAAAATAATTAATAACTATTTCATTCAACAGGTATTTTCAAATACTGTTTAATAAAAAAAAAAAACTAAAAATAGTTGCCTACCATTTTTTATGGTGGCAATAACCATCTTGTATTCTAGTGATGGAATTTCTACACTTCTCCCTTGGTAAAGAAATCCATCTTTTAGTCATTGGAAATGTTCTTGTAATTAAGAGTTTGAGTTTTAATATTGAAAATTTGAAGTTTGAATTTGAATCCTAAGATAAATAGAAAAGAGTTTGGGAAGAAAAGAATTATTAAATATTATATGGTAAAGAAATCCCTTCCATAAAAAAAAAAAAAAATTATGAGATCTCAATGGAATTTCTGTACTGCCTTCTCTTTTTGGTAAAGAAGTTCACCTTTTAGTCATAGGGGACGTATTGATAATTAAAATTTTAAATCTCCATATTAAAAATTTTAAGTTTAAGTTTTGAGATTAATGGGAAGGAGTTTGGGAAGAGTTTGAGAAGGGAAAAGTTATCACATGTTGTATAGTCCATTGTCCCGCCAGAAAATGAAATCAATCATTTTTTTATTTTTTTTGTTTATCATAAATGTATGATTCCTTTTTACTTCAAGTTAAAGAATGTGACTAATTACAACATTAATATTAAAGAGTGTGACTAATTACAACATTAATATTAAAGAGTGTGACTAATTACAACATTAATATAAGATTTGGAGGCTAATATACAATTAGCAACCACAAGATGTTTTTTATACATTGCTGGTGATATAGGTTGATGAGTCAACAATGGTGATAATATGGAGGTTGACTGGAACACCACCCGTAAAAAGAAATGAGAAGGGTTCTTTTGGCGGCACCCGTCTCATGTGCAAAAAGCTACATGCTATGGGTCATCTTGTTCCGTCCAGCGATGATATCCTATAATGGGTTCTCGAACAAAGTTAAGAAATGTGAACTTTCTAGCCAAGCTAGTAAAGTTAGTCAGCGATGACAGAGACTGAAGAGCTCAGGTTGATTATACAACTACTACAACAATGGAAAGAAAATGTACGTTGTTGAAGGGGCAATAAAGATGAGGAATACATGAGGTTTAAAAATTACAACTTGAGAATCACCTTCATGCATAAAATATTGTGACATAATAATAATGGCAATAAAGGTGACTTCTATCATTTCTAGCAAATATCTTGACTCTATAACAAACAACTCTCATGCTGAAGATGAAAATGCGACGGTTCCCTTCTTGGAATTCTTTCAAGGACAAAAGGGAGTAAGCTTAGGAGTGGTGATGGGAGAAGAATGGATGATCGCTTTGAGGGCTCATGGAGAGAATACTTGATCTCGTTCTTGATGCTAACCTTGCAGCTTGATCCTCTGATACTCAAGAAAATCTACCCAGAAACTGAAACTGCAGCATGCTGTTTTCCAACCATGACTTTCTACAACTCTAGAAAATATTCTGCAGTGTTGAAAAGTGTTTTGCAGTGCTGGAAAAATATTCTGCAGTGCTGGGAGTATAAAGAAATGTGCAGGAATGATGATTTCTGGGTGATTTTGGTGTATAGGATGGTAGGTTGAAAATGAGGAGGTGTTCAAAGAGAGAATAGAAGTTTGGTACATGAGGAAGCCTAGCTTCTAAATGGAAAAATATTTGGTTTCAAATAGTTTAACAATGAATATAAGGCTAAGAAGAGTAAAGGATATTTTTCAAAAAAAAGGGCGAAAAAATGAGAGAGAAATATTACAATTTGAACAGCAAGAAAAGAAAAGAAGTCTTATTGGTGTTGTTGGATCTCAACAATTTCATTTTATGCAAAGCCTTCCATTTATTGTCCTTAATCAAATATCATTTCAAGAAGGGTTGAAGGACATTGTTGGCATTGAGATCGTCCCACTCTAGTGATTCCCACAATTTTTTTGGTTGTATCTTGATACTTTCTAGAGCAGTAGGTGAAGATGGCCACACATTCCCTATTAGGGGAATCCTCCTCAACTTTGGACATTTTGACATTGTCAAATTTTCGAGAGAATCACAAACCATTATTCCTCTTACATGGCAGATTCTCTTCAATTTTGGTAAATTGTACAACCCCAATTGTCTTAAGTTTAGAAGAGTGAATGGGGTGGTGGACGTTGCGTCACCTGTGTGATTTTCTTCCTTTCCTTCCCATCCTATTATTTGTTCCATCTATTCATAATACAAAACTGTAATCTCTTGAAAGTTTTGGAGGCCTTGCAATAGCTCAAATGGAAACAATCTCTTTCTTCTTGAACATTGTCAAATCCAAAAGCTTTTAAGATTGGAAAAGAAGAGAGGCAATGTTGCTTCTACTCCTTCCACGTCTGTAAGAACACTCAAATTATGCAACTTCATAAGAGATAGCACTTGTTATTAATGAAAAAGGATGATGTCATAACCATGTCAACCACATACTTCATCTCTTCACACTTACTAACATGACACTTTGTCATGTAGTTGTTTTTTTGGAGAGAATGAATATCACTTAAGCTTTGAAATTTTCTACATTAATAAATCCAAAATTCCTGCATGTCACCTGGAAACACCACGCTATCTTCTTCACCAATCTCACATTCTCCTAAGCATATTATTTTATTGGAAAAAATATTATCAAAGGCTTCTTCCACTTGTCCAACAACAATCATGTAATCACTCAGTCTTTTAACATGGTAGGACTTGACAGTTGTTCAAGTCTTGTAGGTCATACAATTGAGCTTTAAAAATCCCCAACTTCTTCAATTTTGTTACTTATTCTCCCTTTATCCTTAAAGTAAAGGATTCCTAATATACTACCAAGTGTTGGAGGTCAGAGAGGTTATTAAGTATTCTTGTCGGTAGTTGCACCAAATCTCGATAACATAAATCAAGATATTGGAGATTTACACGCATTTCAATGCCTTTTAGGACCACTTCAATTCTTGTCTCATACAGCTTCAAGTTTTTCAGTGCCTTAAGCTTTGCTAAGCAAGGCACATGTTTTAATCTATTGCAATAAAACAAGAGCAATGTAGTGAGATTCTCCAAATTGCAAATGGAGTTAGGTAGACTTTTAATGCTAGTTTTAGAAAGATTGAGAACCTTGAGCCCTTGCATGTTTGCAAGAAAGCAACTTGGAATTTGGGTCAATCGGCTATTCCTTTAGATCATCAAGGTTGTGAGATTGAGACAATTTTGGTATATATTAAAAGGAATATATGAAATTTCATTCAGCATCAAAGAAACCTTCTCGAGATTTTCAGTCCATTCATGCTCATTTGGTATTTCCCTTAGTCCCATAAAAGCTTTCAAAATAAATTAAGAACCAATGCTTTTGATGCGTAATGCCATATCTCTCACAACATCATGCATTTTAATAGAGTGCCCATGATAAGTTTTCTTTAACAGACAATTGTTTTCAAGCATGTTTAATATGGTTTGTCCTTTATCAAGCATTGCTTTTCTACTCCTCAATTCTTCAATAAGTCCCTCCTCAATCCATTGTTCGAGTAGAACATATTTGCTAATTTGAAAGTCTTTGGGATATAGTGAGCAATATAAGAAACAATTTTGGATATTTGAATCTTGTAAATGATCATAACTGAACTTCAATCATTCAAATATCTCATCTTTTGAACCTTTGGCTATAGCTCCTACACATTCACTTAATTCATATATAAAGCATGCCTCCACTCTTGAACATCAGTGACTCCTTCCATGCTCCCAACTACTACAACCATAGCCAAGGGTAGTCCAGCACACTCTTCCACCATGGCCTTCCAAATTCCTTCCAACTCTAGAACTTGTAGAAGGTCCCTTCCAACCTTATCTAAGAACAAATTCGATGACTCTTCCTTTGAAAGAGGAGACACTTTAATTATTTGACAACCAAGGGACTTGCATACATCCACCTTTCTACTCATAATAACTATTTTCCACTGTTGGTCTCAAGATTCCAACATTTTCAAGAGAAAATCTTTGCCAGACCTTATCTAATATAAACACATATTTCATTGTTCCCATCATTTGCATCAATCTTGAAGCCTGCCTTTGCTCATCATCATTCTCTAGGAGCCTTTCATTCATTCCATTAGCAATTTCATGTTGTAATGTAACAACATCGAGTGGAAATGAGATAGTGACCCAAATCACTTTATCAAAACTAGACTTCATCAATATTAATTCATTGTGGATATGCTTTGTAATATCCGGCATTTATTTTATTTTATTTTATTTTATTACTTTTAAATAATTTTATTTAAGCCCTCAAAGGATTTAAATGTAAGGAGAGGGAATTAAGAGGTTTAACTATAAAGGAATCAAGAGTGAAAGGACTAACCAAATATTATAACATTTTTTTTACTAAAACCCAAATAGAAAACAGACTAAGGGTTGGAGAAAGGCTGTAATGCTGCCGCCACTTTTGAAGGTGCTGTTGCCATTTGTGAAGCATAAGAAAGGGGCTTCTGTCCTATAGACTTGCCGGATTAGTCAAATTGAGGAAATTTTAGGATTCGATTCTAGCAATATGGCCTATGATTTGTAGATCGTTTCAATTCTAACAATGAAGATAGTACGAAAGTTTTAAATAATTCAAGAGGCAACGTCGAGTGAAAATATTGATTAATTATTCGAGGTAAGTTGTTATATCCTCTAGTATTATTTTTAAAAGGTTTGGTTTATTGAAATTTTATTTTACCTTTTCAGCGTATTTTATATAATTTTATTTGGTTACTATGTCTTAAGAATAAGAATATTTTATAATGAAACGAGATGAATGTTGATCAAGCATTTTGAGTGTGGACTGTTTTCTATCGAAGAGTGTGGTTTATTAAATTGGAAATAATTTTTCTTTTGATATCGGGTTTTCATGTTCTTGGTTGGCTGAATAAATTAACCTGTTCCTCAGGGGTATACTGAGGGTATTGATAGTAGTCCCAGGATCTATTTATCATGAAGTGTGATGCAGCCTAAAGAACTTGAAATTGTTGTTTCTTTTCATCTAGTTTGGAATGTGGTTTCCTTATTGAAAAGTCGTTTACTTTATTTAATTATTATTTCATTGAAATACAATGCTTGATTGAACTAGATGGGTATACTCTTACTGAGCTGTCTAGCTTATGCTTTTAAATCTCATCTCATTTCAGGTACAGACAAGTAAGCATTTGGGGTTGCATTTGGGAGTGAGAGGCACAATGATTCTAGAGTAGTTCTTTGGTTTAGTTTAAGTTATTCTGGATTGTGGAATAATTAGAATTGAAGATCTATTTGCTATGACTTATTGCTATTAAATTTTATGTTGGATTTTATGAAGTGAGGATTAAGTGTTTTGGATTTGAAAAACTTCTCGTACATGTTAATAAAGATGGAGTTTCCTATAGAATTTAATTTTATTGCATTTGGACACTAAAAGTTGTTTAGTTAAGGTAGCCTTACACATTTATGGGGTCATCCCTATAGATGTGTGAATGTGTGGCATTTGTTACGTCTTGACCTTGGGGTTGGGGCGTGACATGCTTCATAATGGTTGTCTTTCCAACACCCTGAACATCATTGCTTGTCAAGTATCCCCATATCTTTTCCTTCACATCAACCTTGCCTCCAAAATTTGCTACTGGTAAAGGCAAAGTAGTTCTAGGCACATCAACTACGAGACCTTCAGGAAAAGCTCCTCTTTGAAGAATTATGTCTAATGCATCAATTTTTTCATGGACAAGTTTTCCAAGGCGAGCTCGTGAGAAGTATGAAGCATTCTACACCCTTTCTTCAACATCTTGAATTCCAACATTGATCCTTTGTACATCTTGAAGCCATAACTCCATTTCTTTTTGCTCTCTTTTGATGAGCAAACCTCAGCTTGTAGTTGTCTTTCTACATCTTCTTTTCAACAATTTCTGAGACCTTCCACATCTTGTTTGAATTTTCTGTGATAATCTACATAGCGGCATGTTGGAGTTGCTATACATTTTATGATGTCAAGAATTAGAGTTGCGATCTCCGCCATTACCAAAATGCCTGAAATGTGACTCAGATTGAAGTACCAAGTTATTTTTTCTTCTTATAAAGAAAAAATATAAATAAGGTAAACAACCTTTGGTCCTCCTTCCTTCCTATATATATAAGCATTGCTTGGTGGATTCATTGCCTCATGTCGGGTTATCTATAGCAAATTATTTGATTATCTTATGTTTTGTTTATATATAAAATATCTATTCTATGTCATAGATTGTCTATCATACATGAGGCTACAGAATTTATGAAAAATTTTGAGTTAAACATTGAATTGCTTTCAACATACTGAACTATTCATCATTTTTGTCATATTATGCAATTACAAAACTTTTTTGTCATGGTTAAAGACAAATTAATCATGAATACCTTTAGCAAAGATTCAACCAAAAATTAACCCTTCTAAACATCCAAGGGGAAAAAACATAGTAAAAACAAGTAGTATATATATTTATATATACCTGCAATTCAGTTGGCAAAATGAGGTAAGGAAGTCAAAATAAGAGGAATTGGAGGTAGAACAAAGAAGCACAAGATTGGCACCGAATCTAAACAAACAAACAAACAACCATAACCAGAACAGACTAGAAAATAATTGATAAAGGTTGGTCCGTTGTAATTTCATTTCTATCATTTTATGCATCAACAACAACTTGGGAAAAAATAAATAGTAGATAACATACCTATAGGTAAACTAAGGAAGTTGAGAGAATAAGTAAAGAACAACTGAAAAGTGTGGCGAAGCTTATGGAGTGTAGAGAAGGAAGACACTCAGCAAGTCAATACAGAAATGTTGATTCACAAGGTTTGGTTTTAGGCACCTATTCTCCCTTGAAATATTGCTAGGAAGACAGGGCAAACGTCATATATTATTAAAAGAAGAATACAAAGTTGAGATCATTGTATAAAATGTAAGAAAAGGAGCACTTGTATACACAAAGAAAGATTGCATCGGAGACGGTAGATTCAAAAATGAAAAATGTACCACCACGATAAGATAAGGACAGAATGATATTATTAGTTCCTTTGAGTGTACAAAGCAGCGCGACGTGGGGTGCTAAGATAAAGACAAAATGCTATTATTAGTTTCTTTAAGTGTACAGAGCGATGTGGGGTGCACTGAAAATTAAGCATGTAACTGCAGAATATTTTGAAGGTTAATTTCATTTCTAGTTTGAACTTTCAACTTTAAGCATTTTAATTTCTAAACTATTTTTACATTCATTGGTCTTTACTAGACCTGGCAAAAATCCACCCGACCCGTCAACCCGACCCTAACCCGACCCAACCCGCCCGTTTGCCAGGTCTAGTCTTTACGTTATAAAAAATACATTTTTTGATTTTTTTAGTCTTTTAACTTTTAATATATATTTATGATAAACTTAACAAATTAACCAAAACAACTTTAAAAATATATATTTCTCATAATTTAAGAATTAAAAAAATACAAAAAAATATTTTAAGGATTAAAAATATTTAAATTTGAAAATTTAGGTATTAAACTAGCATTTAACCTACCATACTAGCATATGTATCAATTTGGTTACTGAAACGACAAGTATCAAATATCAAAATTTTTCGCGTATTGTTTTGAATTTATCACTATAAATATATATTTTTATAAATTAAATATCAAATTTTAAACTAATAATAAGAGTAATTAATGTTTAAAACCATCATATTCCTATAAATTAAAAACAAGTTTATAATAGCCATTTTTAGCCCATCAATTTCTAATATATGCATATTTTTCATCCCTCCACTTTAAGTGAAAAGTCTAAAAATGTGTATATTTAAACAAACTCAACAAAGTAATTGATAGAATGACTAAAAATTACATTTTTCATAGTTGATGGACTAAAAAAGTACATAAAAAAGTTAAATGATGAAAATTATGCAAAACATTAAAGTTAAGGATCAAAATGGAATTTACCCTTGTTAAATTTGAATTGATTTGTACCAGCCAAATCAAGAAAAGGGTAGTGACGAAATATGAAACTGTAATCTAAGTCCAAGATCTAGGCATGCGATTTGCAAACTAAGAAAAAGGAGCAATAATTGCACGCCTGCACCACCAGCAAAACTGGAAAACTACAATCTGAAATTGTAGAAATTAAAAAGGAGTAGTGGCGAAATTTGAAACTGCAATCTAAGTCCAAGATCTGGGCATGTGATTCACGAACCAAAAAAAAGGAGTAGCAACTACA